TTCCTACCTCAAAACCAACACTAAAACATCCGAAACCCCACCTTTAAAAAAAAAAAAAAAAAAACAAAACATTTTACTGTTCGCTTGCTACAGTGAAAAAGAACTTTCAGCATATTCTAATCAATACATGACATTACAGCAGGCGAGATATAATAATAAATTGAACAGAAAGGAATTAGGATTCCAGGAACTGATTCAGTAGTGAGTATATGCACAAAACTTGGATTCAGTTAAGAAGTATAATCCTCACCGTGTTTGCCCACCTTAAAAATCTACAAGAAAAAATGATTTATGTATATGCTATAATTGAAATGAAACAGGTACATTCTGTTAATCAGCTTCATACTCAGCATCGTGTAAACAGATAGTTGTAAAGGACGATTTCACTTTGCTAATGAATTTTATTCCATTCATCCTCACCATCCAAACATTATTGTAAAACACCACACAAATACCAGCCTGCCAGCATATTTTCAAAAAGGAAACAGTTTTCAACATGCTGCTATTAAGCTTTTGGCAAACCTGTGTAAAATATCATCTTGACTGTGGAAGATTTTAAGCAGTTGGAACCTCTGTTAATTCAGAACTAAACTGAAATAAAGGCTTTTTATGTAAATGTCAGGTTAGGTTTATCCTTTGATAACACAGAAATTTTTGTAGTGGAAGTATAAGTCTAAAATATGAAAACAGTATCAAAAGCCCTCCCAACCTCTGAAACCAGACAGGTGTCAGTCTTCATCAGACAAACATACAAGGACAGCAACTGGTGACTTGATAATGGATTTAAAATTTTCAGCTTGTTTTTTCTGTTGTAAGCTTATAAACATATAAATTTATACATTGCAAGTTGCGTTGGAGACTTCACTAAATATAAAATTATGTTTGGTCAGTCTGTAAAAATTTTACTTTTTTCCCTTCTGCAGATTTTCAGACACTTGCATACACTTCATTTTCTTCAAACATAAATACATGTACAGTCTTAACCAACCAACAGAACAAAACTCACCTCTTCCTAAGACACAAATAGCCATTAAATTTGATGAATAATAAGTAGAATGGAACTTCAATAGCTCTTGTCTTACATCTATTCCTTCTTTGGTTGGTCTAGTTTCCAGAGTAAGTTTGTTCCCTGCAACATTAAAAAAAAAAAAGTTAACAATACTTGATGTTTACGAATTTACAAATCAAAAAGAAAAATATAAATTAATAAATCTGCTTTCCTCCAGATTGATAGTAATTTTAAACATCTCAGTTTATCAGAGACAATACATACATCTCCACATTCCTAAAGAATCGAGGATGTTTTAGTCTTCCAAATTAATCTTTTTAATCTGAATGGGTTATTTCAAAGCAATGCAAGTAAAGCCAGGCTCTAATTCAGAAGAAGAATGTTTTGGCACTTTTGCAGTAGGTTTTACCCCCTTATACACACTCCTGTCATAAGAATCACTGTGTGAAATTATTTATGGCATTGTGTGCCACAAATTATAGCCTAGTATATTCAATGAAATAAATAATAACTAATTTACAAACATGATTTGTAAATTGTGACTGTTCAGCTTCTGCTTCACAAACACCTGAGCTGTTGCTGCAGTAGAGGAACAGGACTAGAGAAGAAAACTCCAACTGTCCCCGAATAAGCCCCTAAGCAGAAGACACTGAACTTTTTGCATGATGTTATCCTCCTGTTAACTAGTGCAATCTTTACATCAAGTTTTCAATAATTTACTCTAAGGACATACTCCACATTTAGAGTCAAAGCACAATTCATGTTTAATAAAAGTAAGAACTTGAAACAACAGAAAAAATTAAATTCTCTGAAGAGCACACTGGATTTTAATCAACTCCACTTCTCATTACGACATGGACACACAAAATGGTCAACAGAATCTACAGACCAGAACGGCAAACTAGTAATCTCTCTGTTAACTTTGAGACCAGTAACTCCCTTAAGCCACAACCAGACCAGGTAGAGAAGAGAGCAAGGGATGAGGAGGAAGAATAAGGCAAGAAAACGTAGCAGAAAAGTTGACTTATGTGTTTATAGGAAAAGCAGCTAGAAAGAGAGAGAAGACTAGGAAGCATGCCTGCTATGCATATATGCCCAGTGCACAAATCCTACAATCGCAGATATAAGTTAATATAAATCAATGAGGCAAAATTAGCTACATAGACAAGTATATTGTCCAGATGTTTGGCAATTAGATACGAGTTTGATTACAACTGCAACAGTCAACAAATCATCATAGAGAGGCTGCCTGAAGCAATATATTGCTTTAATTTTCAAAGTTCACATGTGAGTAAAAGCAAGGATTCTTAATGACATCTAAAAAGGACAATTAGGATATTATGTTTAAAATATTTTGTCTATATTCCTTACCATCTGCAGACAAATGATACACAGAAGTTTTAGATACCCTGCTGTGTTTATTCCCACAGAATCAATACATAGGCTAAAATAAAAATAAAATAACATAAAATAAAATACAATAAGCTAAAGCTTTAGCTCAGTAACTGTGCTGTTACAGTACTGGAGTACATTAAGAGGCAACAATCAGAAGACACCTTGTACGAAAACAGACACTAGACAGTGCAAAAAGTGCCTGGGAAAGTATTTGACACTGCTGAGGGTACTGATGGAGAAGAATTACCATCACATGCATTAATTCAGGGAGATGGGTGAAGCGTATCTGGCGACAAAATGCATATCCTAGCAACAAAACTGGAAGATTAAGGTGCGTTTGTTTCTCTGGACAGACAAAGAGTAATAGAAGGTTTGCTGGCAAAACAGACTGCACAGCAACGAGGAGTGACCTGAAGCATCAAATGGGAGTCATTCCTGTATTCTGCTAGACTAACAACATTTCAGCTGGTCAAAAGGAAACAATAAGAAAGATGCCAACTGCTATTGTCACAAAAACCATATCACAGTTGTCATCTCTTTGGGTAAATAAAAACCAAAGCTGGGCTCTACTTCTGCGAAGTCAGATCTACAGGAAGGCTGTGCGCTAAAATTTAATTTCAGAATCAGAGCCTAATCTAAGAACAGGTGAGTATGATTACTGTTACTGAATTTGAGCACATTTCACGAATTCTCCCCATGTAAACATTTCACTCGTGTCAGCTATAAAACCTTCTTAAATTGTAGAAAAGTATTTCTGCAAGTTCCACTTATATTTTCTGAGTGCTATATAAAAATGAAATCATCTCTTCAGTAGCAGAGATTACAGAATGTACTTTGGATGCTCGCCTGCCTATCAATATGTAGTCCCCAAGGCTTTATTTTTAAATTTACCTGTTTGGAGAATGCAGTTATAGTTTTCTTGTTTCAGACAGCCTCTCCTTATTGGTGAACAGACCAATACATGCTCTTGTAGCAGCTGGCTACCAGCTCCTCAACTATGCCCTCCATCAACAGGTGCAAAAATATTCTTCTCTTTCTTGAGACAGAGGAAGAAACCAGTCCTTAAAGCCCATTATCTGCCCTCCCATCATCCTGCTGTACCCAATATTTGCATCAACTATTCATCCAGCAAACTGACCCAGCCACAAAATACATTCATGCTCAAGAATTAAACAGTGCAGTGCCCGAATTAATAGCCCTGTTACTTTGATAGTTTCAAAAATAAATACATGAAGAAAATAACTTCTATGAAAAAAAACCAAACAAACATTTAAACTTCTGCCAAAGCATCAAACATTTGTTGTTTTGACCATAACTACCATATCTTACTTTAATGCTTTTTAAATTGAGGTTTTGGGGTGTTTACTTTAAATTGTTGCTAAGCATTCTGCAAATAATAAAGCCTGGAAAAAAACCTACAGCCATAAGATTGGGATTTGTCCAAGACTGTTTTATCTACCCATCACTACTGTTGTGTTTTATGCTTAAGATTTTGTTTTTATATTCTTACTCAGTAATTTTCATGTTACTTTGCCTATCTTTCTGTTTCGACCTAGTCACTGTCATCTAGTCCTAATGCAATACTAGTTAGCAAAAAAATGTGGCTAACAACAATTTAAACACAGTTCATTCACTTCATTATGCACAAAGACTTAACAGTACCAAATTATGACAAATACAGTAATTGGAAAACAGCATTCACTGCAGTAATTATCAGAATCATAAAGGATGCTTCATCACTGTACTGCAAGTCTTGGATCACTCTGTCTCCTATGTTTTTGTCTAGCTCTGTTTGGTCTATGATGTGGAAAATGGGATAAAGCAGCATAATAAACATGTATGGGGAGGGAAAAAGGGGCATTATTTCAGTCTGTCTTTAACAATTTTATATAAACAATATTTTTATGTACGTTACAGAGAACTCCAATGGATGGATAATTATATTCTGACAAACCTGTTCCAAATTTACTGAAGGGATGATTGGGGTTTCCAGTAGCCTTCTCCAATTGAAACAACCTCCAGGCATCATTCATCAGATTCTTCTCATGCTCAGAATCAACAGCATTCACTTCCCTGTCTTTGCAGCTTTCATCAAACAAAGGGCACAGGAAAAACTGGGCAAATCTAAACAGAAAAATTTTAATTCAAGTCAAGAGTACTGTACATACATGGTAATAGAAAAGTATGAAGCTTGGTACCTCCTGAAAACAGCTGAATGTATCATTTTTTAATGCAGAACTTACAAATTCTGGAACAGTTTTTACACTGATTCACTATCTTTATTTCACAATTTCTTTATCTATAAATGCAGACAACAACATATTCATCATATAAAGTACTACAAGGATCAAGGACCTTGCATCGTAATTCCTACACTGAAAATTTCTACTGTTTTGATGTTTAGCTGCAAGAGGCTCTTAATCTCGCAAATGAGCCTTGTCAGACATCCAGGGAAGATCCACTCTACCTCACTGACTACACACCTTTCAATTTCTGTCCCCTCCCACAAAAGGGAGAGATTTCAGTGAGTTCCCTTTACTAAAAGCATCCTACTATATTTCTAGACTTCATCCTTCTTTTGCTATCAATGAAATAAGGATCCTATGGGAAGCATAGTATTTGGTTATACAATCAGAGTTTTTGCACAATTTGTAAGTTCATGATCATACTCTGTGCCCCACATTTCCAAAAATACTCGGTGTAAACATAACCTTTGAACTTCAAAAATTCTGCCTCGGTGAAGAACTCTGCTAGCTGAAAAAGTCTGAACAAAACTTTTCAACTGAAAAATATGTGGTATCGGTTTTAACAAAAGATAGTGCTCTCAACCCTTTTTTTAATATCATAATGATACAACTATAAAAAAACCCAAACAACTTTAAACAATTTCAAATAGCACCTATATAACAAAAAATTAAATATAAAAAAATGTGTTTACCTGTCTAGTGCACCTTCTAGATGTTCATGTGACACATCGAAGTAATAGTTGGTGTGTTCTCCACTCGTGAAAGCATTTGAGCTCCCGGCATGTTCACTAAGAAATTGGCTATACTCATTCTCTTTTGGATATTTCTTGGTTCCCAGGAACAGCATATGCTCACAAAAATGACTAAGTCCAGCAATGTTGGGGGGATCAGACAAGGATCCTGCAGGAGGAAAAATTTCATGTAACCATTCATAAAAAGTAATCCTAAAATGTTAAGTCTTTCAAAGTGCTTTATATTACAGTATGTTGCCTCAGGCAATTATATCAATTCTGTAGATATAAGCAGACACTTGTGCAGCTATAGTCAACTAAACTCAATCTTAAAAAAAAAAAAAATTTAGAATGAGTAACTGAACCAATTAGCATCTCAAATTGCCTCTCAAGATCAGCCTGCGTTGCCTTACAGAGAAAATTTTTCAATTGAGGTCCATGACTCATAAAGACCTAGCAGATCACAATGTTCTGACTTCTATACCTTGACTTTAGTAACTGCACTGTGTTAAAAGCAATTGCCAACCACAATTAAGGAGGTATTTATCCTGCCATTTATAGGACGAGTGATAACCTGTAATTGCCTGAACACAAGCAGCTGGTAGGTGTGAAGGTACACAGATTAAGAGACAACAATGACGTGCAAGAATGGAAGCCAGAAACGTGGAACTTTGTGTCTGGCAGTCCTGATTTGGAGTGAGCAACAATGTGCAATGGTAAAGTAGAGGTGAAGGCAACAGACACATCTCCTCCAGTACATGTGCAGGAACTGGATGCTGCAGTCGGCTATTACTGTCACAGTACCTAACGAAACCACATTTGGGATCCTCTGAACTAGATAACGATTTGTGACAGCCACCTCCATAATAAAAAAGGCCAGAAGTTTTCAGAGTTAATCTACTGCTTCTGTCCTAACACCAACAGCAGCAAGAGCTCCCAACTACAAACATGGCAAGAGGATGCTTAAGTAATGAGCAAGGATGCTTAGGTAAAGTGTGCATGCATTGTACTTTCCAAGCAACTGAGAAACTACACAAGCTTGAGAAATACCTCAGGTATAAGAAAAGGCTTCCATTATTCCAAAGAGTCAAAGTAACTGCCTTCCCCTTCTATTTCCAGTATTTCTGTTTGCACACTTAAGCATCATTGGAGTTAGGGAGTGCCTCTCCAACTCCTCCAGTACTACAGCATTTCCTCACCTCTACACATCAACAACTTAACATGAAAGAAAAAAAAAAAAAAGTCTGACATGACAGATGGAGCTGTCTGAAATAATTGCACTCACACCTGCCTCTTTTCTGCTTACAAAAGATCTTTCATAACATGAAACTTAATGGTTAAAAGAAGTCTTTCTACTGACTGAGCTACACTTGAGTAAACACAGAGTGCAATAAGAGAATTTAATTAGCTCTAATAATTTTCAACTTGATGTGTCAAAAAATTAAACTCTAAATTACAGTAAAAGGCTAGGCTGCCAACTGGATACCACTCCTGTCAGTGTATTTGCAATTAAGATACCAAAACTTAAAGCATTTTTATTAATGACATAATTAACACAACATGCATTAAATACCTATGTGCACATCAAGTGCTGCTGAAGACTTATCTGTGGTGGGGTCACTAATGAGAAGAGCTTTAATGCCATTTGCCAATTCCAGTCCACGATATTCTCGTTTATCCTCAGGTGATTTGATAATTTCATTTGTTATTCTCTTAATAGCTGGATTGTTCATTTTGTTATTTGTCTCCTTCTGAAACCTTAAAGAAAAAGAAATTTCACTTACTATTTTTACGTAAGCCCTGCTAATATTTTAACATTTTGTTAGAGAAAACTGGGCGATACTGACGGCAAGAAGTTTAGTTCTGTGCAAAACTCATAGAACTGGCCCAAAAGTATAGTTCAGATCCTGAGAGATATTGCTGTTAAAACAAAAAAAAAACCCAAACCCGAAAACCAAGCAACGTGATAAAATTGTACATCATGTAATTGAATGTTTCAAGTTTCCTACTGACGGTAATTAAAAAAATAACTTAGTAAAGAAACATCATCCCCTTATTCAATTATTATAAAAATGAAATTAAATGAAGCATACATTGCTGTCTCAAGAATACTTTCAGGCTTCAGGAAAGTATTTCATGTGTCTGAATTGGTGGTTATATTATGAATGTTGTAACTTTGCAATTGTCAGATAAATAAAATTTTACTAATAAAACACTGGATTTGTACACTCAAGCAAGAAAGGGTGACACCATTTACAATATTGCTATAAAAATACAAATACACTGCAGAATTGCCATGATAAACAGGAACAGACTGTCTCACATGTTTAAACTTCTACTATGAGTTTAACAGACATCCTACGAGACATGCTTCTTTAATGGCACAATTTTGAAATGCTAAGAAACTAAGTCTGATTCTGAAATTATAAACTCTGGTTATTCAATTTTTTTAAATGGCAAGTGAAAAGGTGAGACATTAAGACTTGGGTATTTGAGGAGGTAGAGTGGAACCACGTGGCTGCATGTTAAAAAAAAAACCAAACAAAAAACCCCAAAAAACCACCAACACAAAAAAACCCAAACAAACCACACACACACACACACAAAAAAGCACACCCCAGAAATGAGAAATCAGAGCGCTATGCTCTGAGCTAGGCATGTGGTGTATTCTTGTATGTAATAGCCACCGAATTCTAACCCTCTTTTACAGGAAGGGTTTTAGAACAGGGCCTGTTATATAGTACCAAACTCAAGTCTTTTCCTGCGGTGAAATGCTGCTTGCCATATTGCCAAGTAACTTACCACACAAACTACATAGTCATTGCTGAACTAATTTCACTGACAAAGAAAACCAGATCCCGGTCTAACTCCCCACCGCAACGCATACACAGAGGCATGAGAAATTTTGCATGGTCCTGTCAGTATCACATAGATAACAAGGAGTTTCACAGTACTTACTTTTCCATTTTCAGGTTGCATGGTTCAAGGAACTTTATCCAAGTTTTAAGACTACATACAAGCTTTAAGACTGTATGGCATGTGGAAAGTGAAGGACTGCACAGTTCTCAACATACTTATTGTTTCAGGTCCTCAGTCATGACATTTTAACTAAGCTAGCAAATCAACTGCATACTCAACGTTACCAGATACAGAACAAACAACTTTGGAAAAGAAAAATCTGATTATATATTTTATTTATAGTTTAAAATTACAAATGAAAAAGGGAGTCAGCTAATAAAATCTCTTTCCTAAAATACTGTATCATTCTCAAAATGGGAAGCAGTTCTGCAAGCTACTGTCCCTCTGGATTATCTCCTTCCCATTTATTCATGTGATTCTGTGATTCTGTGGTATAAAAACAACAACCAACTTGATGCCAGCAGATGCACAGTCATCGGTGTTGGTGTTATATATTATAATGAGGCTGATAAAGAGCTCATTATTAACAGCATGTTAAGGATAGAAAGTTTATGAACATAATGTCTATAGCAGAATCAGTGAAAAACAGTGTTTCACAAACAGAAAATTAAGATTTTACCCGTAGCAGGGTCAAAGTTTGTATAAGACTGGATTTATGCTTGAGAAAGGAGATACATAGGTAAACTGGAGAAGATATTATTATTAAAAAAAAAAAAAAAAAAAAAGCGGTCAAGTAAGCATTAGATCTTAGAATGCTTTTGAAAGGAGTAAAAAGATTACTTTGGAACTTTTAAATAGACTTAAGTTATAACGCACCCTTATATGAAAGAAAACAAAATTACAATCAGGAATTATAATCCAAATAAAAAAACAGAAGCACTGAGTACAGAAAGCATCAATGAATAACCAGAATCTGAAAGTCTCTAAGCAAGAGCCATAAACAATATGCAGTAACTTTTTAAAAGGTGCAGCTCAATGCATTTTAGAAGGAAACACGTCCACTAGTAAAACATGGTTCTCACACTATGAATTACTGTAAAAAAAAGTGCAGTCAAACGTAATCACTAAACAGTAATAAAAATGCTGAATTTAAATTTATATGTCTACATTCTCATTTAAATCTGTCATTTATCCACTAGTTTAACCCTGTACTCAGGCTAATCCTGCTTGGAATATCTATGGGCTTCCTTCCTCTGAAAAAAATGCAGATACCATTCAAAAACAAAGGACACACCAAGTATGGCAACATGTATGTTTCTCTGCATCAACAGCATTGATGTAATCCATGCTTATGATTTAAAAAACGCCTCCTTGTTCAAAGTTCAGAATCCTAAGTAGAAATACTTAACTAAAGGTACTGTGTAGAATTTATGAAGTAAGAATAGATACTACTTTTCATAGATGAAAATCAGTAACTAAACTGTTCTCAATTGTATTTCACTTGCACACAATTCTATTGGATTGACAAATATAAGTGTGTAGGAGAGCAAGGAGGTCTCTGAATCTCCTGATTTCACCTCTGCTAAGGAATACCTATCACTTGGTTTTCAGCTAAAATATTCCATCTCACTAAGATACTAGTTGCTTATCATAAGATGCATACATACTATAAACTTCTCAAGTTTGTTTTTTTTTTTTAAATGTTATACAATTTCCTTGTCATCTGGTATCTCCTTGTTATTTCTACACCACATCATTAAGTCACAGAACTTTACTGTTTTTCGGATGACTCATCTTTCCAATGTGATTCATCAAATTACGCAGCTTCTGTGAAATCTTCTGAGATTTCAATTGATGTCTTGTGAAGCTGTACACCTCCACTTCATTTTATTATCATTCCCTACTTCTGCGTCCTTCATAGGCTACCTGCAGCTTGGTAGTCAAATTTCGGTAGAGGAAAAATCTACAATTTTCAAAAGGTCAAAACCAGTAATTAAGCCTTCAAACCAAGGACTTAAACTTGTGTCTCCATCTCCATTGTTATTTCAGTGGGCATTGGGAATACAACATTCCCTTCAACTTCAAATGGGTTTGCATGATTAACCCACAATTATTTCCCTGCAAACTAAATTGTAGTATCAGACAACTCATATAAAAGCAAGAGCAGATCAACTATGTAATATTCCTGCAAGGCACTGAGTCAAAAGAACAAGACCAATACCTTCCTGCTCAAGTACTGTTTCTCCTGGTGCTATGTTACTACAATACAATAGCTAGAAAAGAAAATTTCACTTAAGATAGAGTATTTATAAAATGACTTTTTCTTAAGGAGTAAACTGTAAGATATAATATTAAACATTGTCATATGACTGCTTTTCTGTGCATATTTTAAGTTCTCTACGTACAATTGCTTTATAAGAATACCATGTTCCATTCTTTCACACAAGAATCCTAAAACACTACAAACCACTTTTTGACAATAGAACTGCTTTTGACCACAGCAAAAGAAGTAATGGAACCAGAAAGAATTCTATATTTCTTGTAGTTTTTTGAGAAGTAGCTTAATTCCTGAAGTCATGTTCAGACGCTGTCCTGAAGTACATGTGCTATACCTACTTGTTATGCTGTCATTACGACGAGCATTGAATGCTAGTGGTCAGTAGCAAAGAAATTCATCCATAAACTAGATGCTATGCTTATTGCAGAGTTAATATCCTAACAAAAACATAATTAAAAGAAATATTTTCATGCTACTTTCACAAAACAGAAGCAACAGAGAAAGACCCAATAAAGCAAAGAGAGCAGGAACAAACACAAAGCATTACTGTGGCACTGGGAATTCTTCCACTGGCTCAAAAATTACAGGTGGCAAGATGACAGAGCTAGAAAGAAAGAGAGAAAAGAATGGGGATGTCTGAACTGAGAGCAGTGTCCCTATTCAATGACTAGAAAATATTAAACATTCTTCCTCCTCATCAAAATTACTTCACTTGTACAAGAAAAGTATCAGTTAAAACAGACACTAAATTTTAAACTACAGCACTTTGAAGTAAAATTATATTCTGTTCTTTGAGGCCCCATTTTTTGTAATGATTTCCAGGCAGGCAGTCCCTTGGAACCAGGGAGGCTCTCTGGGGATGCCAGGTTCCACCTGCAAACAGAGTATTACAGAGGGGGATTAAGTGATATAAGATTCTGCCCAACTATTTTAATCTTTCAAAGTTATTTTAGTAAACTTACTTTAATTAAAAATTAGCCAGTGTAGTCAAATCTTAGTTCACTGTTTGAACAATTAAGGGACCGTATTTGAAAACCAATTAACAGAAACTCCTGAGGGTTGCTTCAACGCAAGAATGTAACTAGCTAATAAAAATATGACCCCCAAAGCACAAACTCCAAAGCGCTTTTCAAGATTTTTTTGCCATGACAGGCTGCACATATTTAAGTAAAATGCTGGTACATAGGTCTGAGCCAGATGAATGGCTATAAACACTGATCAGCTTGAAGTAACCAAATGAATGGCAACAAACTGTTACCTGTTTGATGCTTGCTTTCAATTTATATCAGTTGCCTTAAAATTTGGGGTTTGCTTGCAGTTTTTACGCAACTGAACCCAAATTACTTCTATAGACACACCTCTGGGTATTGCAACATACTCACTTTAAGTTTACACTTCTGTATACTAGGATCTGAATTGCTCCTCGTTTTCAACTCATGTTTCATCTGTCTTTTGAATACAGTTGTTATGTTATGCTGACTGCAATGCAATATTCAAGTTCTGTGTTTTTGAAACTATACAAAGATCACAGTGATGTTCAATCTCACATTTTGCACCTGTTCCAAGTTCTGTATTTTATTTATAACCATTTCTTTTTAGTTTTTTGGGTTTTTTTTTTTTAATTCCAAACTTAGTTGCCTACCATTTACCAGAGTGAGGTGAAACCTTGTTGAGCCAAAACCTCTCTCTGCTCTATCCTGCAAGGGAGCTACCATTGATAACGTGTTCTCTGTATTATTTACTAATCCATCTTGGTTTACAGTTCTTCGTAACTTACATGAAGATTTCTTCATCTGCCAATGCCTGGAGTGAAAGAAGTGCTGTCTGCTTCGGCAGGAGGCCCAGTGCTGCACACCTACCAGCCAGGGTTTTCTCACCTCTCTTACAGGGATGATAGCACGGAATTGAGCACTCTGGAGGGGTCCATGAACTTCTTCAGTTGCAAGCTCGTGGCTTTGCAACAATAAAATAAGTCTCCGTTCTTCCACAGGTCTTCACCCCTCCTCTTCGTCTCTTGCACCTACCTCTCCTCACAATAGCAGCAGAATTCAATGGCATTGTGACACCCTTGTATGTGCAACAGTGACGTTACCAGTAAGTCAACCAACAGTCTACCTCCTCTCTTAACTTCTCAATTGACTTGTATGCTATAATTAAAAATTATTTTTTAAACTTAACTGTAGGCAATACAGTTTTTTTCCTAAAACCAGACAAATGTTTTTACTAAGTTCTGTTACCAAGAATGTAATAAAAAAAATGGAGCAGAGAAAGAGTAATCTCAAAAAAGAAAAAAATTAAATCCACTCAGGTGACCATTACCGTAAAGGATACTTCAGGACACCATCCGTAACTCTTTCAGGTTACCGGTTCCTAAGTAGATAAACCTAGCAATCCTTCTTTTACACATTTAGAGATTAAAACAGTTCACATTACTCAACATCCATAAAGCATCAATCTTCTGTGAATTTACTTGTCACGAAGCTAGAGAACATATAAGATCCCAACACATTCCTGATGCTGATCTAAATAAATCCGATTGCATACACAGGCAGATAGACTGCATAAGTAGATAAACTGCTCAAAATGTTAACATGTTTTATCAATTTTAAACTCATCAGGAATTCAGCATATTACTTCATACACAAAAGCTCCAACTACAAAGACCCACAATGATTTAATCAGTGCTACCAAGTTATTAAGAACAACTAATCATGCCAAATCAGGCAAGTTTGGAGATGATGAATATTTATAAGGTTTTGTTATGTAGTTCATTTTGAAGAAAATCTGAAGTCTCGCTACAATTAAAGCATTTTCAGAACCTTGGTCGGC